TATAGAATGGAATGTGGTGGCACAGGGACTCCTTGTGGTGAGTAAACCCTGATTTTTCCTTCTATACTCTTGGCCAAATTGACATTAATTAAATGCAAAAGTAAACAGGATAGGCAGACATAGCCATTAGGAGATAGAAACATATTGAAGAAAATGTGGATCCTTATCCTTTTTAAAATAGCATCTTTACTTGATCTTAAAGCTTTGTCCACATTTCTTTGTGAAGGATTTGATTGTGATTTCACCTAACATGAAAATCCGCTCAAAAATGATCTTTACCTATGTTAACTTAGACTTAGCAAATACTTCATTCCCAATGCCACAGAATTTGGCTGAGCTTAATTCCTTCCATATAAGCAGGTTTTATTTTGCTTTACTACAAATAATGAAGAAAAAACATTTATTTTCTAGTATAGTTTGAAATTAAAGTTTAAGAAATAGTTTTTAATCATTCTGTTTTTGTTACATATTTATTTTTTGTTACATGTCAGTCAAACTTAAGATCAAAAATACTTAATTTTCTAATTCAGGAAAACATCTTGATTTCACTACTTTATTCCAGTTTACTTTAAAATTATAAAAGGACTTCACTTTCAAAAATAAAACCATAGTCAATATTTTACATTTTTATTTCATCAGTGCTTGTGTTTCTTCACTCTTTCAATTATACCACAAATGGCTGAAAATATTGAGTGAGAGAGTGAGAGATCTAGTCTATATATTTTCTAATGAAATGACTCATGCTAATACTCTGGCATGTTTCAACACTGATTCGAAGTAACTGTGCAGGGATTTTCCCATTTTTCTTGCTCATTTTTGGTGCCATGTCTTCCTTCTTGATCTTTCTGTCCACTACCAGATTTTACTTTAGTCATAGTTAGCATATTATCTTCCACTAAAGAGTAGGAGAAAAAGCTTACTCTTGATCTTCTTTCTCTACTGTATAATTCAGTTTCTATAAACCTGTGAGCCCTTCAAAGCAACTAGAGATACTCTAATTTTTAAATTGTACAATATAAAATTGTACAGTTGCTAAAAATACAATGGAAATGGAAATATTTGTATGAATAAAAAGTAAAATTAAGAAATGTAGAGAATTTGGTTTCCCTAAGGGTGGTTTTACTAGAAAATTTTAAAATAATTCTGTTAAATGTATTATTTTGAAAAATGTTTAAGTTCTGTTAAATATTTGATGTAATATGACTTGTGTGATAACATACACCAAAACCTGCAAATTAGATTAGTGGGTTTTTCACTTTGCCCAACATTATGTTTCACTAATTTATGCTTTCATGTGGGATTTTCATCATTTGCAAGATGAATTGCCAGTAACCACCACTTAGCCATTTCTAAGAACTTTACAATGAAAATATTTTTCAAAAGCCAATTCAGGGTTGAATGCCAGGGCCTTGGATAAGCTTCTTAGGTAGGTTGAAGTGCTTATCAGATAGTCATCTAAAAATATCCTGGCAGAGAAGGAACAAATACACTGATTGGTTCAAGTTGTTTTAACCAGGTAAACTTATTTATGAGGTTAGGTCTTCTCTTGGTAAGAGGCTGTGGTACACATACAGCTGTCTTTTAAGATCCCACATCTTAAAAAAAAACAATTTTTTCTTAGAAACAATTTTTTCTTTGGCAGCTTTTCTTTTTTATTAACAAGGACATTTATATGAAAACAAGACCTTGTTTTTTAAAAATTCTGCTGCTTGTATTATTTATTTGAATAATATTCCTTAGTTTTGAAAATCACAGTCATCCCTGCAGCAACCAAATATGATGTTAGCAATGGAACATTTTCACTAGAGCAGGGGGTGCACAGAAAGCAGTGAATTCAATATGTGTATATCATATACATATATAGGTTTTTGGGGGTTTTTTTGTTTGTTTTTTGAGGTTTTTTTTGAATTCATATTTAGAAATAAAGACCAAATGATAGGTAGGTTTGTTTTTTTAAACAGCATTTTTTAAAGAAGAGATCACAGTACAGTGATAAATTATGCAGTATTAAATTTTATGGAAAGATAATAGGTTCTGAGATGTTGATTCCTGTAAGTTTAGAAGTTCTGTTTTTAAAACTCTGGAATGCAGATGGTTCTGAAGAGCATGCCTTTCTAGAGCCTGATTGCCAGGTTTCCATCCTGGCTGCACCATGTGGGAACTTAGTCTGTACAACCACAGGCATGTTCCTGACTCTCCCTTGGCTCATTTGTAAAACTGAGATGATCAAATGGGATTATTGTGAACACTAAAAGGAATATATGTGGAGTGTCTAGAACTGCCACATAGTAACTGAATTGTAGCATTAGGTGTTTATACAACTTTTCTGTTAACTTATCAGCTTGGTTCAAAATTGTTGTATTATATTATTTTGGGATATGACTTTCCAATGTTTGATAGATCTAATTTCTAACTACGGCTTGTATTAAATATACTATTCCTTCGTTAATATACTAACACATTGTTCTTTGGTTTGAAATATGTACGTAAAGAAACACATTTGGATATATACTTAAAAGCCTTTGTTTCTTAAAAAAAAATTGTTTTGACTGAGATCACTCAACTAAATAGATGCCATCTAGGACCAAAAGCTCTAAATGTAGTTTTCTATTTTAATTAGTTATCAAAATTAATTTTGGTAATTAATATAAATTAATACTACCCTACTTTTAGTTCCTATCCTTTTATTTAATTCATAAACATAACTTACAGTTTTTAAACACAAAAGCTCATGACTATTGGTGATGTGTGACTTTGATTATATGCTGAGCTGTGCCACACTTCTGAGTGGGAGCTGGTGGCTCACGGCTCACCAGTTGTTCCCTGCCACCCAAGTAGAGACAGTCACACCAAGGCCAGGAGCTCACAAGTATTCAAAATGTCTCCTCTTCTCAGTGTTTGAATGAGAAATATGTTTTAGTGACCAAGATCCAATTCTTGGCAAATATAATAGGTCTTCCATCTTCAGACTTGTAGGGATGGGGGCAAGAAATTACCTTGATATTCAAGTAGCCCTTCGCAGAGATCTGTGCCCTAGGCTGGTTGGTTGGGAGTTAGGAGATGAAGGGCATTCTTTGTTCCCTGGAAAGAAAAAGGTCTCTCCTGTGGGAGAGAGAGGAACAGCACTGGATAAAAGAAAGTCATGGTGAAAGAGAAATAATGATAGAGGTCGATGAACTTTGTCCTTGATGCAATTTTTCCCAAAGCCCTAACTTCAACTGCTAAGAATAATTTTACTTGTCTTTTCATACCCATCTGAAGTTACGTGATCTGACTTAGATAAATTCTGACCTCCCTCTCATTTAGGCTCATTGGTCTAGTCCAATATATTTCCAGCCACCTTTAGCCCTCTCTCAACAGTCTTCACAGAATTTGCCTGTTTTCAGAACTTCTGCAATATTTTAGATTCTGTCTGTAAACAGATCAGCCAAATTCATATCTAGCTGAAAACACTGTACAATGCACATTGTAGAAAACAAGAATGAGGTTCTGTAACAACAGCTCACAGAATTGGTATGGCATCATTGTGACCTTATAAAGTAATGTCTCAGGTAACAGTGTCGAAGACTTACAAATTCCTTGTTAAACTCTGCAAAGATCACTGGAGGAAAAGCATTAGGAAAGAATTCTAAAGAATATGTAGCCAAGGAATATCAAATACATAGGTGGCTCAGACGGCCAGTGGCCAATTAGTAAATGAGCCCACCCCTGTGTTGTTGCTTAGAACATTGTCACAACTGGTAGAAATGAAGAGATTCTACAACTCCTAAAGAAAATACCTGGGCTGTTGTATTGATTGCACTATGCATAAATCTGCCAAAACAAGAGACAGCATTTTCTGTCCTGAGGAATCAGCCTGTGACAGGCAGAGAGAACCTATCTTTCCCATTCTTTCCACATGAATTTTAAATCTTAAATTTCTTTTTTTCTAATGTATTTTTTGCATTCTCTTGTTAAAATGGTTCCTTTCACAATTTAGATTTAGCTCCTTATACTCTAACCTCAGAAGTAAGGAGTGATTCTTCTGCTCATATTAGTTATGAAAAAAATATTTCAGTTGAAGTCACAGGGGACTAACATGTAATACAAAAACTGTCCTATAAACCAGTACAAAAAAGATAGGAAGGGAGTGTTCACCTGAAATGTAAATAACTGCTAAATATGTGGAAAGATGTTTAGTTTCCTAACAATAGAAATTAATGTTGAATCTACACTGTGTACCATTTTTCACCAATGAGACTGGCAAAGATCCAAAAATTGATCAAACTGTATCAATGCCCTGGGCTACAGGCTTTGTTGTGACATTGCTAGTTGAGTTATAAACTGCACGCTGTGCAGAGGGCAGCTCAGCTGTTTCTGTCAAAATTTCAAGTGACTATAACTTTGATACTCCAATTTCAGGAATTTGTCCTACAGATATACTTTCATATATGAGACATGGCATGTAAATTGCATTGTGGCTTATAATTGCCAAAGACTAGAAATCTGTTAGGGGTACGTTAAATAAACTGTGGTTCATTCACATAGTGGAACACTGCTCATAAAAAGGAGTTCCTGATGAACTTATATGGAATATTATGCTGTTAAATAAAGTACAAGCTGCAGAGCAGTATGCATAGAATGTAACATTGTGTGAAAAGGGCTGATCCAGCAGGCTACATGCAGGGATTAATGATTAGGTTAAAGGTTTATGCAGTAACAGTAGAAATCTGTTGCTCAAAAGTACCCTATTGGTAGATATCTGCCCTCCACATTCATTTGTTAAGATTGCCAATTTCTAATAGTAATTCTCACTTAAAATCTTTATATTCTGTACTTAGACAGAAAAGTTTACATTGTTGAGTAGTTATTTAGTTTAACTTCCCTTGTTTGACGTTTTTAAAGATCAACATAATTCTCATTTTTACCTTTGTATGCCAGTGTATATCCAATAAAGATTATTGTTTTTGTGAGAACGTACAAAGTAAAACTTATATTTTATTACTTCTTGTATGTTTCAGGGACAGGCGTTTGCTTCAGCCTGCCCAGGTGTGTGACATTTTGAAGGGTGTCATTTTGGTAATCTGCTATTTTATGATGCACTATGTTGACTACTCCATGATGTACCACCTGATAAGGGGGCAGTCTGTCATCAAGCTCTACATCATCTACAACATGCTAGAGGTAAGGACCTCCCTTACCCTGCACTGGCCTGACCAGGGCACTCATCTTCAAGTCTTCCAATTCTAAAGGAATCTGAGAGTCAAGAATGCCCTACTAACTCTAGTTATGGCGCTTCTGGCCTTTACTGTGCTACCATCACCTGGGGGCTGTTGTTAAACATGGATTCTGATTTAGGAGATCTGAGCTGGGTCTGGAGAATCTATGTTTCTAAGGAGGTAGGGCCCATGCTGCTGGTCCAGGGTACACCTCTGTTGGCAAGCCCGCAGGCATGGCGTGTCCTCAGGTAGGCTGGAAACATTCTTGCTGCCCAGACATTTTAGAAACAGTAACCCTTGAGTATGCAAATTGTCAAGTGCTAGGAAATTAGTTTCATAAACTCATTAGGAACCCATGCTAGAACTTTAAAGATTGTGAAGTAAAATGTTATGATTATGTATATGGTTGCTATAGCAAATACACATTTTAAATTGCTTTGAAACCTTTACATAGAGCGGACAAGCATAAGTTCCTAATTTTTGTGAGTACTTAATGTTTTTAGTACAATATGTCTCTCTTTAAAGCATTCAGCTTATGAAAATCTGCATTTATACAGAAAATAAGTTGAGCTGATATACATTCACTTTACCAAAAAAAAAAAAAAAAAAAAAAAAAAGCTTTGCGTTATAAGCCAAATATTCATAAGTTTTTTTAAATAGTAAGCTACCCTAAGTTATATAATACATTTTGAAATTCAAATTGCAAGCCAGGCACGGTGGCTTACCCCTGTAATCCCAGCACTTTGGGAGGCTGAGGCAGGCAGATCACCTGAGGTCAGGAGTTTGAGACTAGACTGGCCAATATGGCGAAATCTCATCTCTACTAAAAATACAAAAATTAGCCTGGTGTGATGGTGTGTGCCTGTAATCCAAGCTACTCACGAGGATGAGGCAGGAGAATCGCATGAATCCTGGAGGAGGAGGTTATAGTGAGCCGAAATTGCCCCACTGCACTCCAGCCTCGGTAACAGAGCGAGACTTCATCTTAAAAAAAAGAAAGAGATTCCAAATTGCATTTTTCTATTTTATTTTGGGAAGGTTACAAATAAGGTCTATTTATCTTTTTAATTAGGCATGAAGATATTTCTTCTAGTGAGAGGACAGATGGGGTGGGGGCTGCTGGCCTGTCTACTCTGAAGCTGCGTTGCTGTGGTAGACAAGGGCCCCCCATCTCTTCACAGAAGCCACAGAGCTCTAGCCGTCTGAGTACCTCCTAAATTAAAGACGAAGATGTTTTAAAACCAGCTTCCTGATTCTAGACTCGCTGTCCATACACTTGCTTTGCCCAACCAAGTAGGTTGCCTAGGGGTGGATGGGGACAAAGCTCTTCTGAAACAGAATAGCTCATCTTGTTCTCCCTTCCTTCTCATAGAAAGGCCCTAGGCCTCATTCCCTGTTCCCCTCTGCTTTCTGCCTTGCTCTTTGCACCGCTGTCCTACTAGTCTCTCCTTCGTAGGCTTTCCATCTTTGGAGATTGGAGAGTGCGAGGGCTTTTCCCTGCCCCATCTTACAAAGCCCTGTCAAGCTAGTATTATTATTGTCACTAGAAAAATAGGCCAAGAAGCAGGATCTGTGAATTGCTGATTAAAATGATTTATATACATATTCACATTGTAGACTGTAATTGATGATGTGGCTTAAACATAGTGGATAGGAGTCCAGTCTGTAGTCTAGAGGCAAACCATTCTGACCAAATCCTAGCTCCTTCCTTTATTACCTGGTTATCCTGGACACAGTTACTGTTGCTGAATATCTCTAATCCTCATTTTCTTATCTGTAAAGTGGAGATATGAGATTATGAGGATTAAATAGACGCCACATAAAAAGGATTTAGCACAATATCAGGCTTATGCTAGGAGCTCCCTAAATGGTAGCTGTTAATCATTCGGCAGATCTTTAGTGGACACTTCCTGCATGCCAAGCAACTTAGACCCTGAAGACTCACAGGTGAACCAGCCTGTTCTCATGGCGCTTATATTCTACAGATGAAAGCCAGGCAATAAACAAGGAGATATTAAGAAATGATAAATCATATGATGAAAAAGAACAGACTAAGGCAGTAGAGACCATAGAAGCCACAAGAGATTGGATGGTCTGGGAAAGGCCTCTGTAGGATGTGGCATTTAGATTGAATCCTGAATGTCATCCCCTCCTTTTCTCTCTTTTATGTGTCACTTTTTACTTGCTATACTGTATTCAAGGAGATTGATACTTGAAAATGTGGTTGGGAAGTAAATCTGCATGTTTTATTCCATATAATAAACAAACAAAAAAAAAATACAGTTACCATTGTTTACAAATATTAGACATGAGTAGGTCAAATGATATATTTGTCCTAAGTTTGAATCCTGAGTTTGAATCAAAGTGCTAAAACCAGAGGCACCACGATTTTGATTCCTTTTATTTTTGCCCACCCCTATTTTTACCACTATTTAAGACTTTCTTTATTACCAACATAGCTAAATAGACATTCTAATTTAAATTCTATTTGAGCACTTACTGTTTGTTAAAGAATAAAGAAATGTGGCCAGGCATGGTGGCTCATGCCTGTAATCCCAGCACTTTGGGAGGCCGAGGCAGATGGATCACAAGGTCAAGAGATCAAGACCATCCTAGCCAACATGGTGAAACCCCGTCTCTACTAAAAATACAAAAATTAGCTGGGCATGGTGGCATGTGCCTGTAGTCCCAGCTACTCGAGAGGCTGAGGCAGGAGAATTGCTTTAACCCAGGAGGCCGAGGTTACAGTGAGCCAAGATTGTGCCACTGCACTCCAGCCTGGTACCTGACAACAGAGCAAGACTCTGTCTCCAAAAAAAAAAAAAAGAAAAAGAAATGTGAATGAATAGTAAACAAAGATCCTCACTCTTCTTTAGGTTACCTTCAACTAGGATTTGAACTGTATCTCAATTTTAGTTACGTATTCAAATGGAATATTAAGAAACATGTTACCAAAATATATGTGTGCGTGTATATATATATATATATATATATATATATATATATATATTTTTTTTTTTTTTTTTTTTTTTTTTTTTTTTTAGGTAGCTGATCGTCTTTTTTCATCATTTGGACAAGATATCTTAGATGCTCTCTATTGGACAGCAACAGAGCCTAAAGAAAGAAAAAGAGCCCACATTGGGGTGATTCCTCACTTTTTCATGGCTGTTCTCTATGTCTGTATCCTTATAGACTTGCTGGAAATTTCAACAGTTAATGCATAGTCTACCTTATTTTATTTGGTTAGCCATTTCATAGATTTAAAGATAGATAGATAATGTGTTTATCCTGAAGATTAATGTGAAACATGTGCGTTCTTTTGGTAAATTGGTTGTCATAATAATTGTAATTAATTTAAGGAGCCTCATATATGCATTACTCTTTGAGCTGCTGGAAAACAGTTCTATTTTCATTGTAACTGATTATAAGGCAGAATTTTATAATAAAAAAGTAGTATTTTTATACATGCCTTAACATTTACATAGGTCTATATAACTTTTTCATACTTAGTAGATTTTTTTCTTGAAGTTATCTTTAAATCTGGGAATTCTTTTTTATAACCTTGGGCTTAAAATGCATAGAATTTGTCTAAAAGTAAAATGTGAAATTGGTTGGGAGGAGTTTCGCTGGTTTTGTGTGTTTGCGTATTCATCCCTGGCTTAAAGCTTTTCTATTAGAGAGTAAATGCTTTACTATATAAGCAGTGTACATGTTTGTGTGTACTCATACATATTTATACACACATTTCTGCTCTTAAGTTCCATGTGAAGTCCGGACTCATTCACAAGAATGTGCCACATTTTTTTTTTCCTACGTGTAAAAGAATGACATTCGAAAAAAATTGGGTTAATACTTGGAAAGTTAAAGAACTAAGTGGGAAAATGCCTGTGAGGGTAAAAGCTTGTTCCAGTGTTAATGGAGTAAAGCAGTTACCACTCTTAGTTACAAATTAACTATGCTGTATGTAATATAAATAGAATTCTGCAGTTTATGGATATCTTCAAAATGATATACGAAGAAGGATCTTAATTATCAGGTATTTCTTACTGCCTTAAATTCCTGTCTCTGTAAGAGTGACATTTTAATTATCAGATATTTCTTACTGCCCTACATTCTACATTTTCCAAAGAACTAGGGAAGAAAATCACTTCTTGCTGTCTTTTTTAGAATGCATATTATCTTAATTCAGAATGTGTATTTCTAAGTCTCTTTTTTCAGTATTTACCATAATTTATTCCATTTACTTAACAAACTTTTTTGAGGGCCTATTTCCTGAGTACTGTGTCAAGTGCCAGAGATACAGAAAGAACAAAACAACCCTGTTCCAAAGGATTCATGGTCTAAATAAATGAATGTTTAGAGGTACTTTCTACTTTGGTTTGTTTCATGTGGATTGCACAGATCCTGTCAAATTTATATCAACTATAGCTAATAGGCAAATTATTAAGATAATAAATACTTATGTAAGATTATTTAGAAAACATCATTTTCTTTCTCTGTTATTCACTTTCAAAATATTATAGTTTATCAGTAATAATATGAAGGCAAATTCAAGTTTTTCCTTGACCTTCTATTAGTTTTGCATGCGATTCTTATAATGGTTCAAGCAACAACTCTTAATGTAGCTTTTAACTCACACAACAAGTCTTTGCTTACTATCATGATGTCTAATAATGTAAGTATGAGATTTATTTTATATTTTTGAAGTTATACGGGCATTTCAGCTGCAATACTCTGGGTGGGATAAAATTCTTTGTTCTATATGTTATTCTCTTGGAAATTTTACAGTTAACAAGTCCAGTTTTTAAACTCTTATAATGATAAAGATGGTATTTCTGTTTACTGTTTCAGTTTGTTGAAATTAAAGGAAGTGTTTTCAAGAAGTTTGAAAAGAACAATCTCTTTCAAATGTCAAATAGCGGTATGTACACTTAGATTCTACTTGCAGTCCTGTGCAGTATTATTTTGCAGTTCATTCCAAAATCCTGATGGCACATTTTCTCTGGGCCACTCTTTCTTCAACTTAAATTTTACCATCTCTTATGCTATCAACATCTTGACTAGGTTTTATTATCATCTTTGGTTACTGTAATCACAAGATGTTTGAGATAAAAAATTAGAAGCATTCGTGTAGCACAATTCCATACTTAGAGAAGCTTCTTAATAATCTGGAAATTTCTCTGAAATGGGTGGTGTTATTCATTTTATAGATATGAAAACTGAAACACGAGGAAATAATTTGACTTCCCCACAATCACATAGCTTCTAGGAGAATTATGACTGTAAATCTAAGATTGTCTGTAGGTCCTTAGCTTTTTTGGCTAAGTTTACTGCCTTCGTTCTAATCCTACAAAGTGTGAAGGCACAAAATTTGTGCCTAGAGTTGCTATCTTACATAGTTTTGAAAGCCAGAGCAGCGAAGTGTGGTGGATCATGGAGCCCTCAAGAACAGTCCCAGAGGCTCTGCCAGGGAGGGCTCCAAGTCAAAAGTGTCTTCACAGGAATATGAAGACATTATCTGTCTCTTTTGCCATGGTGACAGTTGCACTAGTCATGAAAAAATGATGGTGTTTTAGCATGAATTTAGACAGATGTAGGATAGAGAGGACTCATAAAGGAACGTGGCTTGGTGAAGTATGTCACAGGGGAGGTGTGCAGGCTGATCATAGATAAGAGCACACATAACTCATCCAAAGCAGCATTTGTCAGACTTTTTGGTCTTGGGACCCTTTTGCACACTTTAAAAAGTATGGTGACAGCTGGGTGTGGTAGCTCACACTTGTAATCTCAGCACTTTGGGCAGCTGAGGCAGGTGGATCACCTGAGTCAGGAATTCGAGACCAGCCTGGCCAATATGGTAAAACCTCTTCTGTACTAAAAATACCAAAATAAGCCAGGTGTGGTAGTGGACGCCTGTAATCCCAGCTACTCGGGAGACAGGCAAGAGAATTGCTTGAATCTGGGAGGCAGAGGTTGCAGTGAGTCGAGATTGCACCATAGTGATAAAAGTTTCACTCTTGTCACTCTAGCCAGTGACAAGAGCGAAATTCCATCTAAAAAAAAAAAGAAAAGAAAGTAGTGATGATCTCAGAGGAGTTTATTTATATGGATTATGTCTCTCGCTATTCACCATATTTAAAATTAAGACTGAAGTTTTAATAAAAATATTACATGCTTACAAAAATAACATTTCAATAAAAAATATATTTTCTAAAACGAATTAAAATTTAGTGAGAAGAGTTTTTCAACAAGTAATGCTGGAACAGTTGAGTAAAGATTTAAAAAAAGAACTTTGGGACTTCCCCTGCCTGAGAAGATTAATTCTTAGTGGTTCCTAACCCTAAACATAAATGCTAAAATTATAAAACTGCTAGAACAAAATACAAGATAATTTATTCACATTCTTGGTCTAGGCAAACATTTTTAAAGACCACCCAAAAAGTACTAACTATAAAACAAAAGAGAGAAACTGGACTTCTTCAAAATTAAAATGTATGTTTATAAAATTTTAAAAGTGAAAAGGCAAGGCACAGTACTGAGAGAAAAGATTTGAGATGCGTATATCTGACGGGATTTTTTTTCTGAATATATAAGAAATTCTACCAATCAATAATGAAAGGACAATCCAGTTTTAAAATGGGGAAAAGACTTGAACAGACATTTCACAAAAGAAAAATCTGTAAATGTCCAATAAGCTCATGAAAAGCTGTTCAGCATTATTAGGGAAAGTGTCATTGGAGAAATACAAAGTAAAGCCATAATGAGTAGCACTGCACACCCTCCAGAATGACTGCTCATGTAGCCTGATAGTGCCACAAGTTAGTGAAGATATGGAGTAACTGGCACTCTCATGCATCGATGGTGTCTGTGTAAAGTGTTACAGCTGCTCTGGAAAAGTTTTTGGCCATTTCTTATACAGTTAACTGTTCACCTGCCCTATATTTCAGCTCTGAGAACATATTTTCTCAGTAGAACTTATGCAAGACTTATTATGGCAGCTTCGTTCATACTAGCCAAAAACTAGAAACAACCCAAATATCTATCATTAGGAAAATAGGCAAATTGGATATCCATACCATAGAATATCACTCAGCAATTAAAGGTAAAAGAATGAATTCCTAATATATTCAACTATGCAGATCTCAAAAGCATTATGTTTAGCAGAAAAGCCAGAAACAAAAATGTACATAATATATGATTTCATTTACTTGAGGTTTATGATCAGACAAAATTCGTTCATAATGACAGAAATAAGAGAGGTTGCTTATTGGGGATGTGGATTTACTAGGGGGATTCAAAGGAGCTTTCTGGATGATAGAACTTCTTATATTTTAATTAAAGGCTTGGTGTCACAAATTATACATTGATCAGAACTCATCACATTGTATACTTAAGATCTGTGAATTTCACTATATGTAAATTTTACCTATATATTAGACAAGGAAAATAATGGCATATGAATATGTTAAAACAAACAAATTATAGGAGGTTTGAAAACTAGCAAGGAACAAAAAGAACAAGTGGACAAATGGAAAACTTGAACATAAACCCTAGATGATTCTATGAGGCCATGCTGGACCTGAATCTCAAAGCGAGGGCAGTTCATATTCTTGCTGCTTTTTTTTTTTTTTTTTTTTTTTTTGAGACGGAGTTTCGCTCTCGTTACCCAGGCTGGAGTGCAATGGCGCAATCTCGGCTCACCGCAACCTCCGCCTCCTGGGTTCAGGCAATTCTCCTGCCTCAGCCTCCTGAGTAGCTGGGATTACAGGCACGTGCCACCATGCCCAGCTAATGTTTTGTATTTTTAGTAGAGACGGGGTTTCACTATGTTGACCAGGACGGTCTCGATCTCTTGACCTCGTGATCCACCCGCCTCAGCCTCCCAATCTTGCTGCTTTTTAATGTTTCTCACCTTTCAAGTGCAGACTGCCAAGTGTCCTGAAGTTGAAATGAAAGAGGAAAGAGGGAAGGGACTAAATTATAGAATACTTGCTGCAGTAGTTAACCATAGAGTAAGTAACTTGATTCAACTGTAACAATGTCATTTGTTGTAGAAACCATGTTTTTTTAAAAATTAATTCATATTAGTAGCCTCCTTGGGGTAAGTGCTCTTTATAGAGCCTTAAATTAGACATGCAGATCTTAAGTTTTAAGAGTTTTCAATTCTTGTCTATAAAAGCCTCAAAATTATAAGGAGAAAATTGTAAATGGTTTTTAACCTCATGGCTGTCATGTTAATGTAATTAATACCCCTTTTCATTTCTATAAATGGGTCCTCCAGAATTCCAACCTCTTAGCTTAGAAAGATTAGAGATTCAATTGTTGAATTTTTAGAAAACACTGCAAAAAAAAAAAAAATGATATGATCAAGTTTGTCTATCAGTTCACAAGAAATTCAGGACTTTATTTTGGCTTAAAATGGTTAGTACTTAGCTGTAAGCAAAATAGCTCATGATACAATGCAAGGTGGTCTGCATTGTATCCTTTAAGAGTATTATAAGAAATCAGCTTTACCCTAAGGTAGATTTTAAAACCCTTCCCAAGTAAGAAAAAAAGAAAATCTAGGCAATCTTACTAACATTGCACGTAACATTCAGCTATTAAAAGGGAAAGATCAGGAGTGACCAATAGCTGCTTTTTACTCTTGATAACAATGTGTTGCCTCCTTCATATGCTTTAGTGGTAGCTGCTTAATGAGAGCCAGTCAGCAGGGATACTCATATTGGCTATTGTTTTCTTGTAAATTTTCCTAGGAATTTTTTCTCCATCAGAAGTTGAGTTCCCAGGTAGTGTAAGGTTCAGTCCTTCATGCTGGTTTAATATGGAAGACTTCATGGAGAAATCTGAGAGTAATTTCACCCCTTTCAGTGGTAGTTCACTGTATATTTTCTTTAGAGGAATTGCCTGAGGCAATGTGAAAAGTAATGTAGTTAATAAAACCAGACTTTTAACAACTTACCCTTTTCTTTACTTTGTTTTAACATAAGCACCAGCTGAGTGTCGAACCTCAGCCTTTCTGGTGATGAAGAATTTTAGGTAGTTTTTTACCCATTGGTAATGTGAACTGTGCATTTAGAAAGGTCCTTCAAGAGTTGAGTTATCTAAAGTAAGCTTCTTGCTCACTTAACACTCTTAGAAGCCAGCATACCTGCAATAAATGTGGATGTTTGTTGGAAATAGTCACTCATTTTATATTTAAAATGTGACTGCAAATATGTTAAAGTATATCCCTTTTAATGGTAATATAGCAAGGAAAAAACTTAATAATCTGAATATCAGAAACATTTTTAAAGCATTAATACCAGTGTTTTTAAGCTTCTTAATAAAGGGTTACGAGAAAAGTTCCCATTTTCTTAGAAATTTTAATTTTTTTTATCAATGTAACAGTTCAATTTTAATCAGAGCCCTGACTATTCTAAAGATGAGATATGGTATAAATATGTTGCTGATTGCATTATTTAACATATGTTAGATTGTCAGTATCAGACTTTTATTTCTTTTTGTATCTTATTTTGGAGAAGCTTAAAATTTGGGTATTTTTTAGCTCAAATTTTAAAAGTCAAATCTTGATTTTATAATGTCTATATAAAACATTTAAATGTAAAAGTTGTGAAAGTGTAAGAATAAAACTTTTTAAAACATCTTCACATAACAGCCTCATTTTTATAGTTAGATATAGTTTTATATCTTTATCTTATCAAATAAAGATATAGTTATTTTTATGGTATCACTTTTTAATCTACCATCCTTCACATCTTTCATCTTATAAAATTTTATTTATTTACCATGTTTATCAATTCCTATTAATCTCTATCATATTTTGAAATAGTCCGCTTTTCTAAGATCTGTTTTGGACCAGGTTTAGTCTCTCACACCTGTAATCCCAGTACTTCGGGAGGCCAAGGCAGGCAGATCACCTGAGATCAGGAGTTCGAGACTGCCAGGGTCTTTCCCACAGACCCCAGCTGCACAACAGATGAATAAATGCACCCAGACACAAATTTTCAGTGAACAAATGGGCTAGGGGGCTGTGAGCCACTCACAGAGAGAGATCACAGCTACACAACACTACTTTGCTCTCTCCACATTTATTCAGTATAGATTTGATAACAGGCTCTAAGTCAACACACTTGTGGGAAAAGATCAAAGGCCAGGTTCCAAGCCCAAAGCAAACACCATTATAAACACCATTATAGGGTAATCTCCCTAGTTGACCTACCTGCAAGAGGGCCATCCAGCTCAAGGGTTAGTTTTGAGACCATGTTAGTAAACAAGTTACTCGAACTCCACATATCCTAGCTATTTGCTTTTCTTATTAACTAAATGTAAAGGGGATTTAGGCTGCCTTCAGCCAAAACTTCTACTGAAACTATGCTAAAACCTCTCGGCCTTCCAAGAAGGTTTGTGATTATTCCTTAAAGCTATCGCTGATTTTTTTTTTTTTTTTTTTTTTTGCCACCACCCTGACTGAACTCCCACAGAGACCAGCCTGGTCAACATGGTGAAATCCTGTGTCTACTAAAAATACAAAAACTAGCTGGCATGGTGGTACAACCCTGTAATCCCAGCTACTCCAGAGGGTGAGGCAGGAGAGTCACTTGAACTGGGAGGTAGAGGTTTCAGTGAGCCGAGATTGCGCCACTGCACTCCAGCCTGGGAGACAGATCAAGACTCTTGTCTCAAAATAATAAAAAATAAAATAAATATATTTAGCCATAAATATACCTTTAATAAGATAGGTTTTTCCCCTTTCATCAGTATCCTTAGAAATGAAATGATTTCAGATTTTCCCTGTACTTGGAGCTGCCATGTGTCCAAAAATCTAGTATAATCAATTTAAATTCTGCATTGGTTTTGCTTTGTTATATTAAAGTTTACCAAAAAAGTTACTTTGGCTCATTTCAAATAGTGTTTTAAATTTCTCAAGGCTATTTATTTTCAGATAATTTTGTAATGAAGCAAGTCCATATTATATATTCATGTTTGGGAAACATCAAAAAATAAATAATTTCTTTGTTAAATTCATTTATGGAAATGAGAAAGGACTTAGCACACATATAGGTATAGCTCTGTGAATAATTCTACAGAATTCCAATTACTGGCAAATTTATACCCCATGAATTTAGATCCACAGTTAAGTATAGTAGCAAATACTATATCTTGTGTCAGACTTTGATGGAACTTATTCTAGGGCAGACTTTTCTTATTTCCTTTAACCTGTATCCTCTTTTGAAGTCACAGAATAAATTAAACACATGATCTAGAATGAGTCAAAACAGGTGCACCTGAAAACTGCACATGGACTTGCTCCAGATGTGCCCGGCCTCCTAAGGAGGCATCTCAGTGCTTGGCACCTTGAGACTCACTGTGCCCTGAGCTCACACTTCAAAACACATTACTGTATAATGAATGGTGCTTCAGCTTTGTAAATGAGAAGCATGTAGTGCCCACTGGGCTTTGAGGGAGTAAAGACACAGCTCAACCCCATCAGTAATAAGGAGCTGAGCTGCCCTGGGAAAGAAGGTATCAGCAGCTGACTGGAAGAGCTTAAAGATGTAGGGAAAGTACAGAGAATAAAGGCCAACTCACTTATAGAAAAGGAGCTTTTGCCATGGAATAAAAGTTAATATCATGTTGCTAGAGAATAATGGGGAAAGGTGGAAGTAAAAAAAGAGAAGCAAAGAAGATCCCATGAAGTACCTCAAGATAAAATTGAAATTCAGAGCACTTATAGGAGATGCCCCATGGCTGAATGATTTGGGTGAGGCTTGAAGCAATTACTGAGGTAGTGGGAAAGTAGGGAAATGACAGCAGAGTGTAAAAAAGCTTCTGAGATGGGTTGTTATATGAGTGATTGTTTCTAGTCACAGCCCCCCCATTGCATAGACACACATACATGGGTATGCCACTCTTACTGCAGACAGATTTATTGTGTACTTTCTTGATTACACAGTATCTTAGACTGTGAGAAAGTTAACAGCTTAAAAAGTGAAATGTGTACACTGGCCTTTAGCAGAAATTCAGTGATTTGCTTTTATTAAATTCATTCCACCTAATCTCAGCACATAGTTATTAGTTTATGGGAAATACTATGAAGCCCATTTTGGGGTTATTTTCCCTCAAGTTGTACATACACCCTAAGAAATGCTATTGTAGTAGCAGGATTCTCTCAGCTAAAGGACTCATCAGTTCAGTAATTGTGTACTTACTATTTACCAAATTGGAAATAGTCTGGGATTTTATACAGCGATTTTGTTACCCAAAGTCTTGTATTTTACTCCTTGCTTCTCTTTTTTCTTCTGTAAAATGGAAACAGTTGTCATATGTCTCCAAAGACCATTGGAGGAATCTAATGACCCAGTCTGAGCAGTTTGATGGTTTGAATACTTTTTGAAGTTTATAGAAAACTGGAATTTCCATACTAGAATTATGTTGGCAAAAGAAGTCAATGGCTTACCAAGGTAGCACCCGCCTATATATATACACATATATATATATACACGTATATATAAAGTTGTATATTTATTTTATAGACATTTATACATCTAATAATTTCATCATGTTCTGGCTAAAAGAATTGTTTTATATATGTACTTTATTATGTTTATATACACTATAGTACTTACATGTTGATTTTTTTTTCTTTTAGATATTAAGGAACGATTCACAAATTATGTGCTTTTACTGATAGTGTGTCTAAGAAACATGGAACAGTTTTCTTGGAATCCAGGTAATTCACTCCTAACAAAACAGTGTCTTGTAATTTTACTTCTAAGCCAAAATCATTCCTTTACCTGGAATAAAATGAATATTGCAGAAAACTTCAAAAGACTTTGGCTGTTTTACTGGTTGGGTATTGGAGAAACAATCATCTGCCACATAATGACCTTTCAGTCAGCAACAGACCACATACACAATGGTGGTCCCATAAAATTCTAATGGACCTGAAAAATTCCGGTCACCTAATCTCCTGGTATCCGTTTCTGTGTTAAGACGTGTTTAGATACACTTACCATTGTGTTACAGTTGCCTACAGTATTCAGTATGTAACATGCCATATAAGTTTGTAGCCTGGAAGCAATAGTTTATATACAGTATAGTCTGGGTATGTAGCTATACCATCTAGGTTTGTATAAGTACCTTCTACGATGTTCACACAATGACAGAATTCCCTAACAACACATTTCTCAGAATGTATCCTGTTGCTGAGTGATACATGACTGTACTGTTTCAGTAGAATAGATTGAGTATGTTTTCTGTGGTGTGGTGGGATGTGATCGTTTCCCTTAAACTCACATTGGCTCTGTTGCTGTATACTCAGTAGGTGAGTATGCTCTGCTATGCCTGGCAGCTCTGAGCCTCTCTGTTTTTAACCTTAGTGTGCTTTAGTTACCTAAATCCAAAAAGATCATTTTCATCTTAGGGACTGACCAGAAGAACCTTTGCTCTTCCCTAATGTTTATCTTTTACCCATCAATTCGCATTTTAAATAGGGATAAATTAAACATAAAACAAAGTGGAAATTTTGCTACTTAGGTACATCTCTAAAGTCAGGCTGACAGGAAATTGTCAAGATTCCATGAATTTTCATCATCCATTCAGTTAGCGGACATTCATTGAGCATATGCCAGTTTCTAGGCACAAGGGCAGGCACTGTGACAAATACTGAAAAAAATAATAATAATAAGACATTTGTAGGACTTACAGGCTAATAGGAGAAATGGGTAATTATAATGCTGAAGTGAGCTGGGGGAAAATGATCAGTTTCTCGGGTATCTCAAGTAATTTATAGAGTTTTTGTTTGAATGTCTGATGTTTTTGTTGGAATTTCATTCTTAAGGGATGAGACCATGTTTGCATTTCATTTACTCCCACTATTATATAAGCATTTTTTTATTTCTTATTAATTTACTTTAATTCATTGATAATTTTTAACTACCTGTGAAAAATCAGTAACATACAAAATGAGGTATATGCTCTTGGAGATAACATTTTCAAAAGCTGTTTTCATAGAGAAACTGTAAGATCTGACAGCAGCTTTAGTTCTAATCCAAAAGCTCCCTGGCTTGTGGTAGAAAAGCCTCTTCCTCCACACACACAGCTAGATTCTTTGTGTACCGTGTTTCTTTAGTGCATGGTGCTATATTTCTTTATAACTAAGTCACCTAACAGTGTCCATGAAGGACGGAGTGGGTACGTGTCACTGGTTCCAGTGGAGTGCACATAGAATCAGCAATTCCCAAAGCAGAGTTGTTAAACCAAAGAACAAATAGTCCTCATGCCTCCTGAAAAGCTGGATATTTGAAGTCGTATTTCCATTTATACTATGACTTTTAATACATTATCTTGTCTCCTTTATTAGTACTATGGCAGATAGTATGATAAAAGGAGCACTAGCTTTTAACGATGAATTCACCATTTTCACCCGTTTTTCTTAGGTTTATTAAAATTTCTTTTAGAAAAAACAAAATGCCATTTATGGAAGCTTGCTCTTAAGTTCTCAGGGTCGTTAGTAACATAAACAGTACTAGACCATTTTGTATGCCAGGCACATTGTTGTGCACCATTATATCTCATTTAGTTCTCATAATAATTAAGTGTAGGCACTTACTATCCTTTACCTTGTGGCTGAGGAAGCTAGAATTTAGCTAATTAAGAAATTTGCCCTTTGCCAGTGATGTAGATTCAAAAAAAAAAAAAACTTGCCCAAGGTCATATAGCCGTTAGTAGCAGAGCTGATTGGTGAAAGAGGTCCCTTGATTTCCAAAACCTAATGTGATGCCAGACTCACAGAAGCTGCCTGTACTGTCAGCCAGGATAGCCCAGCTATGTGGTCTCCATCCCACCCTCTGGGTACCTGGGTCTTGTGTTGCTGTGGGTCCTTGTCAGCATTTCTCCCTATTTTTTCTTGCTGTGTCCCACTCTTATATTCTTTTCCAAGTTCTTAGGAGATTGTCTGTGGGTCTGTTTTATCAGGTACCTGGTACTGAATTGGCATTTAAAAAAAAAATTTTTTTATTGATATATAATAGATGTGCATAGTTTGGGTGTGCAAGTGATAATTTATGCATTCATATAATTTGTGAAGATCAAATCAGTGTACTTGGGATATCCAGCACCTTAAATATTTGTCTTTTCTTTTTGTTAGAACCAGTCAAATTATTCTCTTCTACCTAATTTGAAATACATAGTAGATTATTGTAAACTAGTTACTCTGCTTATCTATCTAACACTAGGTCCTATTTGAATAGACATTTTAATAAATGTCATAGTGGTGAGCAAATTTAACAGGTTAATATCTGTATGACAGCAAAACAAAGGATTGATCAATATCTTTAATTTGTATTGATCAAAGAAGGAGATTGCTCAGTTGACTACAGCACATCTTTGCTAGCTATTTTCTGTCACATTGAGGCATCTATGGAATTAAAGAATTTTCTAAGGAACCTGCTTAATCTAGTCATCCCATCAGCATGTCAGCACATAGGCTTCATGAAGGCAGGGGCTCTCTGCTAAACCACCAGAACCTATGTGTAAAGCAGTGCTTGGAACATAGAGAGCACTGAATAAATATTTGAGTTTGTTGTGGTTGTTGTTTGAGATGGAGTCTCACTCTGTCACCCAGGCTGGAGTGCAGTGGCACGATCTTGGCTTACTGCAACCTCCACCTCCTGGGTTCAAGCAGTTCTCCTATCTCAGCCTCCTGAGTAGCTGGGACTACAGGTGCACACCACTATGCCCAGCTGATTTTTGTATTTTTACTAGAGACAGAGTTTTGCCATGTTGGCCAGGCTGGTCTCAAACTCCTGACCTCAGGTGATCTAAAATGCTGGGATTACAGGCGTGAACCACCATGCTGGGCCTGAATAAATATTTGTTGAATGAAGTATCCTTTAACTTCTTATAGTATAGCTCTTTTGATAAAGGTTATAATTGAATGCCAGGCCTGCATAAATATTTGTTGAATTAAGTATCCTTTAACTTGATACAGTACAGCTCTTTTGATAAAGGTTATAATTGAATGCTAGTTCATCATTTACTGAAAATATTTTGTTGTTTTTCTGTTTTCTATTTGTAGATCATCTCTGGGTGTTGTTTCCAGATGTCTGTATGGTAATTGCATCAGAAATTGCCGTGGATATTGTAAAACATGCCTTTATCACCAAATTCAATGACATTACTGCAGATGTATGTGTTTTGACATGGACTTCATTGTTTAAAGTTTACTTCTGCTGCTTAATTTTAAAAGTTGTAGAATAATAGGGACTTAATACTTTAAAGTCAGAATTGTAATTCTAAGTTTCTAAAACTTATTACACTACTGAAATTATTCTTTTATATTAGGCAATGCTAATTCCATATCTTCGGGTGGAAGTACAGTGTCACTAACTCAAAATTATTCTTATCAGTTAACACTGTCATTATCTGTTTAAAGACTTTAAAAACACATTGTTTCTATTTTAAAACTTAGATCATCAAAACTTTTCTCTCTGGCTAGGTTTTTTTTTTATTATTTATTTGTTTGTTTTCTGGCTAGGTTTAAAAAAAATTTATTTAGCCGGGCGCGGTGGCTCAAGCCTGTAATCCCAGCACTTTGGGAGGCCGAGGCGGGTGGATCACGAGGTCGAGAGATCGAGACCATCCCGGTCAACATGGTGAAACCCCGTCTCTACTAAAAATACAAAAAATTAGCTGGGCATGGTGGCGCGTGCCTGTAATCCGAGCTACTCAGGAAGCTGAGGCAGGAGAATTGCCTGAACCCAGGAGGCGGAGGTTGCGGTGAGCCGAGATCGCGCCATTGCACTCCAGCCTGGGTAACGAGAGCAAAAACTCCGTCTCAAAAAAAAAAAAAAAAAAATTTATTTAAATCGATATTTTTCCATGATTATAAATAGGTTCCTGCTAAGTTTTAGAAGACAAGAGCCTTACATTTTTCTGGTGAAAGTGTTTGCTGAAACTTTGAGAAATTTTTATGCTCTAACCAGGTATTCTGGAGAATTTCTAGAAATAGATATGTGGCTATAGATTTCTTGCATGTAAAACATAAGAAGGTTTCCTAATGTATTCCTCATTCCTACCTTAGTCCCAAAATAAATAGTAGTTTGGCAGTTTTCTAGATTGTACTGGGTGGTACTTATGACAGTCTCACTCTAATATTTGTTTTATTTCAAAAGGCAATTATTTAAAATAAAATACAGTTGCAACAGCTATGATTTGATTATATTTTTGAATGTTTTAATACACTTAAATGCAGTTTTGCACTTTTATGTAAAACACCGATAAAGTAATTTCACCATTTACTTTCTCAACTTTCTCAATGCAGAATGACTCTCTTTTCATAGGATCACTTATTTAGCATCTGAAGTAAAAATTAATAGGTTTGATTGAAACACTTGTGCAGTTTTTAGCGGAAATGAGAAGTCACAAGTGCCTTCATATTTACTATGTTCCCTAACTTAGCTTTATATCATTTTGGGATTCATTTGTCTATGAAGGCTTTATTACGGTTAGATAAACAGTAATAATATTTTAAACTAAAATTTCAAAATTATTTTATAGACATTACACTACTTAAACTAGTCACTCTTTTCCAAATTCTAAACTCTCAGGATCATAATCATTGAATATTTATTCTTCTTTAAAAAGAAAGCCTTTAAAATGTCTATGAAGGTTAACAGTTCAGAGGAATTGAGGTTATGTTTTACCTTTACTGTAGGAAAACAAATAGAGAAATTATGCCCAGATGACTGGTTATTAGCACTTGTTCCTGGTTAATTATTAAATGTTTTTATTTATAAAGTCTTAAGGCTTTCCACATGATATAGTTGTACTATGTTACTTAATATTTCATTCTTATTTGTCTTTAGGTCTACAGTGAATACAGAGCCAGTCTTGCTTTTGACCTTGTTAGCAGCCGACAGAAAAATGTGAGCATTTATCAAGGGCAGAGTCTGAAATTAACAAAGGCATAGTCTGTAATTAACTGAATAATGTTTAATTTAGCATGAACTATTGGCTAAAGGAAAGCTACATAAACTTCCTACTTACCTGTGTTCTCCACACTAAACATTTACAAATTAAGAAATAATTAAAAAAAAAAAAAACTTAACATTACTTAGTGTATGACTTTGCCTCATTTTAAGTTATTCAACTTTTTATTTAAGACTTGTGAACATTTAGATTTCTACATCATTTTATAGGTCCCAGGTTCTGTTCTTGCTCCATAGCCCCACCTGTTTAGAACATTTGCTGGTAATAAGTGAGTAGTACTTTTAAAGTGCTATTTAAATCCCATAAATCTGAATCTTTTGCTTGTTTCTTTATTCAGGCATATACTGATTACAGCGACTCTGTAGCACGGAGGATGGGCTTTATTCCTCTCCCACTAGCTGTTTTAGTAAGTGCATACTTTTTAATAGTTGTTGTAATGAAGTAGCCATTATTATAGAATATTCATAAATGGATTATTAATAAGATTGTTTCAAAAGGACTTGATATAAAAATTAAGGGTAAATAACTTGGAAGAAAATTTTTTTTAATTATAGCAGTATCTTATATATCCAAATACCTGTTGGTTGAGCCATCCAATAGATAAGTGATGCCAAGCTGATTTTATGTAAATTGCTTTCTAACAATGAGAATACTCTTTTTCGATTATTCTTTTAGTAAAAATATTTTTTAATGGAAATATCTGAGCATGGGCATTAATGTGGCCACTGTAACACATATTGGTGGAAGTATAGATTAATAACAGTATTTCTACAGGGCAATGTGAGAGCATCATGCTTTTAGTCATTTCATTTCTAGGAATTACCCTCAGAAGATAGTTATAAAAGACACACAATGACTTATGGCCAAGGGTATGCATTTCAGTGACATTTGTAATACAAATTTAGGAAAAAAAGAAATAGGTTAAATAAATTATGGTATGTCCAAATGAAGACATATTCTCTATCAATTTGTAATTAATACTTTTTAAAAATTGTCCAAACTTTTTGCAAGGAAAATCTCCGCTATACTCAAGAAATATGTATTTATTTAAAAAATACTACTGAAACTTACTAAATCAACCCTCAGCAAGTCATCAACTTTGAATATTTTAATGAATTGCCCAGAACAGGCTTGCAAATAGTTTCTAGCCACATTGTACCATAATAATGTTAATTAAGAGGATTTGTTTAGCCTGGCATGGTATTGTGGACCTGTAGTCCTAGCTACTCAGGAGGCTGAGGCCAAAAAAAAAAAAAATTGCTGGCTGCACTTGTATTTGATTATGTTCATTCTTGACTACCTATTCTAACATCAAAACAAATGCAACCAGCTGGGCGGGGTGGCTCACGCCCGTAATTCCAGCACTTGAAGGCTGAGGCGGACAGATCACCTGAGTTCAGGAGTTCAAGAACCAGCCTGGCTAACATGGTGAAACCCCATCTCTACTAAAAATGCAAAAATTAGCTGGGCGTGGTGGTGAGCACCTATAATCCCAGCTACGTGGGAGGCTGTGGTAGGAGAATCACTTGAAACCTGGGAGACGGAGGATGCAGTGAGCTGAGATCATGCCACTGCACTGCAGCCTGGGCAAAAAGAGCAAGACTCCTTCTCAAAAAAAAACCAACAACAACAAAAACATAATGAAAAGGAAAAACAAATGCAACTGGCTTTTTTGCCAAAGGATATCTACTTTTCTTCTATAGCTGCAGTCTCATGCAACTCAACTAAGAAATGTGTAAAGAAAATGAAGGTCATATCAGCTATATTTTAGACCAGCTTCCTTGACTTTTTTAGATGACAGATGATTAATAGGCTTAATGCTGTTTAAATTTCAGTATGACTTTCCAGATAACTACATCCCTAAACATTTTTAATTATGTGTTAATAGCTTGCTTATTTTATAATAATATAGCTTTCTTTTGCTTGGGAAAAGGAACTCCTAGAATTTTGGAAAAATGGAGGCTTCTAAATAATAAAATTATTTCTTAAAGGCTTAAGAGATTGATAAAATAGAATATTAAATATTTCTGCATTTGTTTACTACAACTAGAAACATACAAGTGTAAGGATAAACCTAGATTCCTGATTTTTTTTTTTCAAAGATTGGTTAAATGGTTGGATTTAAATATGATCCTGGTTTGCCAAATAATAATTGACTTATTTGTCTAGTAACTTGTCAGAAAATTCATACTTAGTATGAACTTTTATGATTTAGTATTTAAAATTTTTTCTTCTTCTTTTATTCTTTAAATGAGTTTTTATGGCTGTTATACCAAAAGATTTATGAATGATTAACAATTGACAAAACACTTTTGGAACACCTCCAGTGTGCTGCAAGGAGGGTTATATAGTTTGTTTCTTCCACAGCACTTTGCTCACAGAGCTTTGGCAGGCATCCAGGAGCCTTGACAAATATACGGAGGCCTCTGTGACAAGTTGATTCTTTAATCAAGGCACAAGGATGACAATTTTTTCTTCTAAGTGTTACATTCCTAAAATGATTTTATATCCTAAAAAAGGAAGAGAAATTGTGTATTAAAGTCTCATGGAAATTAGACTTTGGGTAAAAGTTACCTGATGTGCTAGATAGAAGTGAAGTTATTTAAGGCTTAAATGTGATCATTGGTTTGCCTTTCATATTAATGAACAAAATCCTAGAGTCATGTTAACTTCAGTCACAAATGCCTATACAGTACACATTTCCCCGTTAGAGACTGCGACACAGTTGAGGGCTTTCATTCTCACTTTTCTCATAGTGAGAGTTTATTGAACATATGACAATCCATTGCCCCACCTTCTCCCAATTGTAAAGCATTTTAAAATTTACTATGATGTTTATTTAAGATACCTTAATAGACATTTGATAACTTGACATTACTGGATAAGGCCACTTCTTCCTGATTCTCTATTTCTCTTTTAACATATGGGGACAGCTGCACTTGTAATATGCGGAAATTTTTCTTTAACTGATTCCACAAGAGTTATTCAGCAGACTTCTAAGGCTAATGCTGTTATTCCTTTACTTTTGTGAAAGAAGTAAGAAAATGAATATTTAACTATCCATAAGAGAGAAATGCTTCAACGTTTAACTTTTTAGTAGTGTTTCATTTTTCTAAATACAAAACTTTTAAGGCGCCGTTTTCTCTGTGTTCCCTGTGAATTACTAGGGGTTCTTAAAAGAATCAAAGAAGAAAGGATGGGGTAGGGGCGGGGGAAGAAACAGGAATAAGGAAATGCCCACCAAATGATTCTGGCTCTGGTGTGAACTCATGTAGCAAGATGAAATCATTGGTACTTTAAAGAATAAAATAAAAAGTCAGCTGATTTGCATATCTGTAAGGTGTAAGTACATGTGTCATTCATGACCTTGATATAGGGCCAACCTCTGAGAGTCAGCAAGAGTCAAGCTGTTGCCTTAGCCACAGGCATCCCAGATTTGCCTGAACAAACCCCGATGTACCACAAAAGGTTTCACAAGCAGGCAGACTTTGATACAAATCATCAAATCTGCCTTTTTTGATTTTTAGACAGAGGGCCAGAGATGTATGCCTAAAATGTTAACGTCAGCATGGAGAAATCTTTAAGTATTAACTAATAACTCTGTGGTTGTGTGTTCTGTTTGTGTGTTTTTGTTGTTTTGGTTTATTTCTGGCTAGCTCATCAGAGTTGTAACAAGCTCAATTAAAGTGCAAGGAATCCTGTCCTATGCCTGTGTCATACTCTTCTATTTTGGGTAAGATTATTCTTGAATATGTTTTTGGTTATACAGTAAAGCATAAATGCAAGATATAATGGAAGTTAATAGCATTCCAATCATACTACTACAAATCTATGCCAGGAGCTTCCTTTCAACAGCTATACCTCCAAGTGTATTTATGATTCAGTTCGATTAACTACACTGCTATTTGGTAGTAGTATTAATAGTACTTTAGAGTTTATTTTAATTTTTAGCAAGATCTTACAGCCCTTTTTGCTTGAGACTTAGGTTTCACTCACATTTTCTTAGATGAATAAAAATGTGCCATTGCAGACATGTTTTCATATTTAGAAACATCTTTAACCTAATATATTTGCCAAAATGAATTGTTGAGCACACTGTAAGCCTGCATCATGTAAACCCAGAGGTCATGTACAAGTGTAGGTTTTCTCTCTGTGGCCAGCTGAATCCATCTGCAGGTTTGTTGGTCTCATGAGCTTACATTCCGGTTGGGGGAGACAAACAGTAAATTAACAACTGAATTAAAACAAATGGTATGAAGAAAATAACAATATAAAATGATGATTTTGCCTTTGTTACTTTTCTCAAGAAGTGAAATGATGATAAAGTAACCAGACCTGGCTTTCAATTAACTTATTGAAAAATGGAATAGGAAACGTGTTCCACCCTCACTTAGGTGGAATGCGGCTTGAGAGGGGTCGGACTAGAATACCTCTAGATGAAAAAGGGTGGAAGGTAAGCATAGCAGTCTCAACTTGAGCAGTGGATTTGCTTAATGTTCCCCTAGGACAAGGTCTGGTTTCCAGAGACATCCATGGTGTTCCAGTTCTGTGGTTTTTCTTAGTGTGTTTTCCACCACGTTATTTTCTGCTCAGGGCTTAGCATACTACCAGGCACATGCTCAGGAAGCTTCTGTTGAAGTAGCATGGAAATAGTCACTTACTGTCTGCAGTTCCCACCTCTCTGCCAAGTATCCTGAGTTGTGAACCTGCTTCCCAGCTCCTGCAGTGCCTGGCTCAGGCCCTTGACCTGCAAAGCTGTGTGTAGGTCATGCAGCCAATTTCGGTTTTACACACATCAGGATAAGGTTCTGATCACTCTGCACAGCATTGCCTATTTTTTTTTGTTTGAATGAGTACATAAATGGTTGACTATATTAAGGTAACTCTTTCCATTTTTTGACATTAAAAAACATTAGGACCTTCCTTTTCTAATATAGACTGTCACATTGCTCCTCAAAGTTCTTAACTGTGCTGTGTTTACCAAGGGATATTGCAGTAATCGCAATGAGAATAGTTGTTTGGCAATCTAATTACTCTAGTAGTTTTTACATAATAATTAGGAAGTGAAGCATGTATATGCTATATGCGAAAACCTTTGTTTAGTTGCAGTTGCCTGTGCATAGTTCAGCAAAGGGGATATGCTTTAATCTGAGTTACTTAGAATTCAGGGCACCTGTCGCCCCAGCCTCCAGAGTCACCTCCCTCCCCATGTTACTTCACTTCTCCAATTGGATAGCACAGCCAGACAGATCTGCTCATTCACCTTTCTACTTCATTCGTCTACTCTAACACTCATCTCAGGGTGATTGCTAAATTATCCTCTTCTTCAGAAGCTTTCTCAAAACCACCTTTTCCATGCCTTTATCAATTAACTCCACCAACGAATCTGTCTTCAGTTTAAAAAAAAAAAAAAGAATTCAGTTGAGCCTCCTGATATAAAATGTTGATAAAATGTTGAGCTTTTTCCCCACACCGAGCTGCTTCTCTTTCCCTCCAGACTCACTCTTGCCAGCTAAGGTGGGAGGACTTGCCAGCCTCTGCCATTACTGCTCTGTCCAGTGCCCCTCAGGGAGCGTCTATTCAGCATCAGGGCCTGGGCTGATCTGAGGCTTGTCCAAAAAGCCAGACAAATGCCCTGCCTTGATGTCACAGAAATCCCAGACAACAACTAGAAAAGTCACTCTAAATTTACAGTTGGTAGAAATCATTAGGAAGAAAAGCATAACAAGTGTGAGGAGATGAACGGCAGAGGCAGACACAGCTGCCTTAGAGAAGGTGGGCAGGTTAGGCCTCTGTGGTGAGCTGGTGTTTCAGAAAGGAAGGGAGCTGTGCAGCTGCATAGGAAGAGCATAGGCTTGGCAGAAGGGCACAGGGACACAGTCCTGATGGAGGAATAGCAGGTTTCAGGCAGCTGCGGTAGTCCATGAGCAGCCGTGGAGGAGGAGGGCCTGGGCAGGGGAGAGCACGAGAGGAGCTCAGCAGAAGATGGCATGGTGGTTCATGCCTGTAGCCCCAGCTCTTTGGGAGGCTGGAGTGCGTGCTTGAGCCCAAGAGTTTGCGACCAGCCTGGACAATAGCAAGACCCCATCTCTACAAAAAAGAAAATTAGCTAGGTGTGGTAGCATAAGCCTGTGGCCCCAGCTGTGCAGGAGGCTTAGGTGGGAGATTGCTTAAGCCCAGAAGTTCAAGGCTGCAGTGGGTCATGATCATGCCTCTGCACCGCAGCTAGGTGACAGTGCAAGACTCTGTCTCTTGAAAACAAAACAAAACAAAAAAAACAACCTATTCACTGGCTGTAAAACTGGCATTGAGGTTAATATGAGACTTTTTCTTCCCATAATTTTTTTCCAGATTTATATTTAATCCCTTAAAATATTCATATTCTTTGACCCAGAAGTTTTATTTCTGTACTTATAAGTATCTAGGAATTTATCCTAAGGAAATAGAGATTTAATGTGTTTTCTTAATCAGAGACTTTTTAGTAGAAGCAAAATATTGGAAATAATCTAAATATCCAGAAATAGGAGTTGTTTGGGGCTTTGTTATTTCATAACCCATACAGTGAAATGTTATAAGGCCATTTAAAACAGTGTCACTAAGGAACATTAACTGATACAGAAAAAATATTCATGATGCATTGTTAAATAAATAACAACAATAGTAACAAAATTGCTTGCCATTTCTATGTGCCAAGCACTGCTCTAAGCACCTTGCCTCACGGCTTTCCTTTCCATATTAGCTGGTTGAGTAACTTGCCTAGGTGCACACAGGTTCTAAGCAGCAGACTCAGGACCCACACAGACACACTTCACTCCAGGGTCCATGCTCTGCCTCCTGACTCTACTTGCCTACTGCCTTGTAAAATAAACCCTGTTTCGGCTCTCTGAGAAAAAAAAAAGTAAAAAAGAAAAGAAAAAACAGACCCTGTTTCTGTACAGCAAGAAAGCAGAAATAGAGTTGTACTCAGAGAAAGCGACTGAAAGATAACATACTAAATGTCACAGTGATTATCATAAGGGTGTGGAATCATGTCATTTTCTTATTTTCTTTTTTGTTCATCTGCATGTGCTAAGTGTATTTGTTGTGTAATAAAAGGATAAATGTTAAAATATTTAATACCAGGAAAAACTTCTAAGTGATATGATTTCTTATAAGAGAACTAAGGAATTCCAAAGTGTTTCTTGGTGGCAAAGAAGCCTCAGAAAACTCAAGATTGGCATAAGGTCCTCTAACCCCTGACCTCTCCCCGTCCCATGCCCCTCGCCTTCTCCTTTGCCGTGGTAGTATATGGTGTTCACAGGGATTTAGATGAATTCTAATGGATGTGGTTTGTTTTGTTTCTGTTTATAGGTTGATATCCCTGAAAGTACTTAATAGCATCGTGCTGTTGGGGAAATCATGCCAGTATGTGAAGGAAGCCAAAATGGAAGAGAAGCTGTCAAATCCTCCCCCAAACAGCACTCCAGGAAAGCCGTCCAGTAAATCACAGAGCAAATGTAAACATTCTCAAGGTAGGTTTGGTCTCTTTCTTTACTTCCCTGAATCATCTTCAAAGAGTTAAATCTTTGGTCAATGTTAAGTAACGCTTTAAAGATTGGTTTCATTTTGTGTAGGTTTTCGGGTCTTTTAATGGTTGTGTTTTAGATCCCATCCCATATATACCTGGCCTAGTGCTCTGAATTTTTTTGTTTACTCATTTGCTGTTCACTATTAAGCACCTGTGACATGCCGGCTCCAGTGGATACAGCAGTAGGGTGGAAAGGCAATTCTCTGCTCCCGTGGAGCTTGTTTTAGATCAGGCGTCCCCAAACTTTTTACACAGGAGGCCAGTTCACTGTCCCTCAGACCGTTGGAGGGCCGCCACATACTGTGCTCCTCTCACTGACCACCAATGAAAGAGGTGCCCCTTCCTGAAGTGCGGCGGGGGGCCGGATAAATGGCCTCAGGGGGCCGCATGCGGCCCACGGGCCGTAGTTTGGGACGCCTGTTTTAGATTGTCAGGAAGAAGGGTAGAGAGAAGCCAATATGCACTATGTCAGGTGGCAGGGGCGTACTGCAGGGAAAACAAAAGCAGGACGGGGAAAGGGAAGTACAACAGTGAGTTGGGTGCTGCCCCAAGCGTGAGGAGATAGCACTGCTCAGAGTCCTGGAGCCTGAGAACAGGAAAGCCAGCCTCTAAGGAGCACTTCCTAGGCAGAGGCGCGGCACACCCGGAGAAGGCACCAAGGCAGGAAGGTGCTTGGTGCATCAAAAGACAATAAAAGCCAGGTGGCTGCCTTGGCCCAGTCCCAGGGAAAAGAACTGGAATAGGGGTCTTGGGGGCCATGGAGGGCTGCAGGCTGTTATGAGAACCTTGACTTTGACTCCAGGTGGGAAGGGGGCTGTTGCAGGGCTTTGAGTGAAACAGTGGCATGGTGCAGCTGACATTTATTTAAAAGGATTATTCTTAACCTTTGCGGAAAATAAACTCCAGAGGGGTGGGCCCAGAGGCAGGGACCAGAGAAGCAGCTGCCTGGCCAGGAGCATGGTAGGTGGTATGAGCAGGGAGACCTGGCCAGGTTCTGAATAGACCTGGTAGGTTTGTAGGAACTATTTGTTGATGAGGAAGTTATGCAGTGTAAGAAGAAGTGGGGAGTTCATGATGATTCCAAGGTTTCTGGGTTGGAAGATTTGGAGGAAGACCTGGGACACTGATTAATTTTTATTGTTAGATGGCAGTTCACTATTCACAAAGGTATTTGTTCATAGGACGTTTAGTTTAAATGGCTCATTTTTAAATGTGTGGAGCAACTGTGTGCCAGGTAATAGAGGAGATGCTAAAGATAGATAAGTAAAGGATGCCCTTTGAGGTTTTGTGTAACTATAGGGGTCCACATAGGTGAGTAGAGGGATGGAGGCACAGGAGAGGGCTCTTCTAAACTAAAGCTTGAAGGATGCAACTGGCCCAAGGAAGGCTGGTGGAAAGGACAGTCCAGAAGGGCCAGCACGAGTTCGATCATGGAGGCCTGGAAAAGCATCTAGAGAACTAGCAGCTCAATATTGCAGGTGTAGAGTGTGTTTCAGAAAGAGGGAGGAGAAAAGAGTTAGGCTGGACTTGAGTCCTACCTGAAAGAGGGACTGTGCTTAGCGCGTATACTAAATAGGAAGCAAAAATAAAGTAAAAAAAACAATGTGTGTAATCACTGTGAAGTAATTATTTTCATTATGAGAACATAGAGGGACTATTAGTAATAAGGATTGCATTTTTTTCAACCAACTAGGTAATTCACAATGGGGCCTGTACGGGTTCTATTAGTTAAATTAGGCCACATATGATGGCACCTACCTTTAATAATCTCAGCACTTTGAGAGGCTGAAGCAGAAGCAGTGCTTGAGCCCTGCGGTTTGAGACCAGCCTGGACAACCTAGTGAGTCCCGTCTCTACAAAAAAGATAAGAGGAGGTTAATAAGCGTCAGACTTGCTTTCAAGGAGGATCCAGTCTAATGGGGATAAAAGCCTTAAGCACTTACTGCAGGGCCAGGCCATTGACTAAGGGGTCATGTTTTGAGACGTGCATTCAGGACGAGGGTCTGAGTGTTTGCACAGAATGTCTTGGAGGTCAGGAGAACACAGACTAGAAACCATTCAGGAGGGTGTTGAAGTCAAGCTGAAGAGAGGGAAGGGGCTGTCTCAAGGCTGCATGACGTCTGTCACGTAAAAGAGACAAAAGATAGCAGTCCTGGGGTTGGAGGCAGGAGAGAGATTACTACAGGAGAGCTGGATGTGTCATTACCTCCATCATGGCAGTAGTGTGAACAGGTGTATGCACATGTTGGAACTCATCAGATTACACATTTTAAATGTGAACGGCTGATGGTATGTCTTTTTTTGCCTCAAAAAAGCTGTTCTTACAAGGATTGAATGTATGATTCAGATGAGTTACTCCAGGCCCCAGCCCAGCTGTCCCCAAAGCCAGGGTCCAGGTTCTCTGTGGCCTAAAATAAACATTGGGGGTTTTGTTTATTTGTTTGTTTTTACCTCTGGTTTGGACTTCCCAGAGATAGTTATGCTAATCCAACTGTAGCTGAAGTACTACAGATAACAAGTAGAATGTAGTAGAGTCTTCTTGGCCCACTCCCTGATGTTCTCAGTAGGAGCAAATGTTAATTTTTCAGGACTGACAATAGTCATGTTAGGTGTTGATTATATAGAGAGGAGCTGTAATGTAGGAGTTGTGATCTTTCCACAGTTGGGTGATGGCATTGTTTGTGTGATACAAGCAATGTAATACACCCTTCCATAAAATTGAACAGATGATTAGCCTCTAAGTTTTATTATAAAAGATGGCTGCTCATACAACATGCTATGTGGTTATCATTTGCTTTATCTAAAAGCATGGATAATGAGCACTCTTTTCAGCACCACTATATTGGTAAGTTTGTATTTATTATGAATTGGGAAAAATATTTTCTCAAATTTAATGGATCTGTTTTATCACAGGCCTTTCCACAGAAGAAAACCTGTCTGCCTCTGTCACCAACCAGCCTGTTCATCAAAAGGAAAATGTCACACCATTACTTGTTACAAGCAATTCAGATCAGTTTTTGACAACTCCAGATGGTGACGAGAAGGACATAACACAGGACAATTCTGAATTAAAACACAGATCCTCCAAGAAAGATTTGTTAGAGATAGACAGGTTCACAATTTGCGGAAACCGAATTGACTGAATCTGTGGCTCCGTGTGCTGAATCTGTGGACCCGTGTGGGTCCTGGGGCAGCAAGTGCTGTGTTGCCAGGATGGACAGATGCTAAACATGGCACTTAAATATTTATTTAAAAACTTAAATTATTATTGGCAAGCAAATCTTAGTATCTTTCTTCCAGTAATGTGGTCTGGCTGAGGGTCAGATCACAGGACAGGAGCAACCTCCAGCCTTGACTCTCTGGGAAACTTGATGGATTATAAAACTTCCTCCTGCTTGGCCAGGCAGCAGTGTCACTTCTGGGACCTAACCAAGGCAACATCAAAATCTGTTTTGCTTTGTCAATCTGGGCTTCCAGAATGTTGAATTTGCCTCAAGGCCTCTTCAGTATAGGGAAATACCTGGAAAACTGTGAGGCCTTTACCATGACGTTACCTTTCCAGTCTGATACTATTTTCACAAACAGTTTTCAAACTTCACTTCATCTGCCAAAGCATTAAAAAAATATTAAACATAAGTCAAGATAAATGTTCTTACCACCAGAATAATCCTTAAAGATGTATCTTAATTAATCAGAATAAACGGCTACCTTAAATAAGACATGGTGAATAGTAGCACTTTGTAGGATAAACAAACGTTAAACCAGTTCATTTATTTTAAAATAATTAATGAAGGCTATGCATTACTGGGAAAAATCCTTCAGAATTTTTCAGTATATTCTTTAAGGCAAAATGTGAACTGTATGTCATTTAATTGCAGTGGATAAAATACAATTGATTTCCTTACAAAAGGGCACTTTTTATACCAAGGAAGCAGAGCAGTGTTAACTTTAAGGTATACTTAACTGGTTTCGCTTTAAAACTAATTGCTTCATAAATTATTACAACTAAAAGGATTTGGTGTTGAACAGGCTGAAAAATTGTCGATGTACAAAATTCAAAACTGTCAACTGTAAAGTAAATGCTCCAAGTGTCTTAGGCAGCATCATCTTGCTTGGGCTTGTCAAATGCATCAGTCCTTCTGTTTGGGTTGACAGTCGACAGCAGGTGTGCCTGTGCTGGGGCAGGGTGTGTGTTCTGTGGGAGGGTGTCTATGGCGATGTGACTGTCAAGGTGGGCCTGTGCTGGGGGCTGAAGCAGGCCTCAGTCTGGAGAGGACTTTGTGTGGAGGTAAATGGGATATTTGAGGCGTATAGGTGGCTGTCAGTGTGGGGAGACATCTGTGTATGGCTGTTGGGAACAGCAACCAAAAGGTGCTTTTTGGTTTTGAGATCAAGATTCTGTTTCCACTTAATTACTAGTTTGTGGCCTACATCATAGTTCAGGTTATTTCCCATCCCATTTTATCTTGAGAATCCTGTTTGCATTTCTGTAAAACTTCTACAACTTCTGATTTCAGAACTGTCCAGAAGATGGTACTATTAACTGTTATTTCCTTTGATGTTTTGATTTTGAAGTTTAGCTCTCTTGCAAATGTTTCAGGCATGTATATACAGAAGGCAAATTTTAGGTGATTTATCTGTTTCTTGGATGGAATATAAAGCAGGCTTTAATGTTCTGACTTGTTCATTTGAAACACAAAAAAAGTAAGTGAATTTTGATGTTTTGCATTAACTAAAGAAATCTGAAGATTAAAGTTGAAATTGTATGGACATGCCTTTGTGAAACCAGGAAGTATTTTATGTTAACAATGAAAAGAAAAAGGTTTTAATTGCTTTGTGTGTCTTTTAGTGGAGCCCCATTTTAGAATTACTATTTTTTCCATCTCCCTTTACCAACAAAACGAACAACGCCACAGTGAATGGAATAGTTTGGGGAAAGCTTTGCTAAACACAGCCCTGATTTCAGAGCAGGAATATGGTTTGGATAGACCTTCAATTCCGCTTGAATTCTGTTACTGTGCTGTCATTTTCAGAAGATTTCCATTCCTTTGCAGATGCTGTTGGGAGTTCTGGATTATGTTCATTTCTTCTGTTATAATGGCATTCAATACTAATTTTATAAGTGCATCTTGTGTGAAACTCAATAAATTCAATTTTGTAATCTTTTTTAAAAAGGTCACTGAATTTATTTTAATACATTCTATTCGGTGGAGTGGATTTCCTACTCTATAGCAGGAATTTATTTGTAATTCATAATTGATAGCACTATCTTAATTTGAATTATTGTTTTGGTCTTAAAGGTGGCAAAATGTTTAATTTTGTCTTTGGAAAAAATAGGTTGGGCCTTGATTATAGACCGTTTTATATTTCTCAGCAAATGATGGTATTTGCATTTTAAAGTGTTTCGAATGTCACACAAAATATTTTTCACCTCTGGGAGTCAAGTTCCAGGCGGTATTTTGGTTTTTAAAAAAATCTAATTAAGGCACAGCATAGGCCAGACCTTTCTTAGGTTTTCCTTTAGAATAAGTGTAAAGACCAAGTGTCATTGATACACTTGTCCAGATTTTCTTGTGGATTTTGGCCAGTATTTAGACTTTCTATTCATTATATATAAAGTGAAAAAAAATTGCTATGATTAGGTTATCAAAATATATCCTGCCACTCCTGGTAACTCACCAGAGGAGAAGATAAATTCACAAAATAATTTAGTATCTCTACATTGTTATATGTTTCCATTTTAACTATATCAACAAAGATTTGTTAGGCTGGGCAAGGCGGCTCACACTTGTAATCCCTACACTTTGGGAGGCCAAGGTGGGTGGATCACGTGAGGGCGGGAGTCCCAGACCAGCCTGACCAACATGGTCTCTACAAAAAAATACAAAAAAACCCACAAAACATAGCCAGGCTTAGTGGAAGTCTGAGGCAGGAGAATCACTTGAACCGAGGAGGTGGAGGTTGCTGTGAGCCAAGATTGCACCACTGGACTCCAGCCTGGGTGACAGAGTGAGACTCTGTCTCAAAACACGAAAAACCCACAAAGATTTGTTAATCACTTTCTATGTGCCAGAAACTTTTAAGTGGTGGGATCAGCAATGAGCAAGATAAGTCCCTGTTCTTCCGTAGAAGACTGATAGGAACAAGTCAATGAAACAATGTCTGTTGGTCGCAGGGTGTCCACTGACCGATGATCTCTCAGGTTTATTTCAGCTGTAAAATATAGTTCTGTAAAATTTTTATCTAAGTCAAGTTTTTCTCCTGTTGGATTTGGTTGAAGTAAGATAATTGATAGCAATTTTACAGTGCTTCCATACAATAGAAATAAGAAAATACCTTTTCCCTGAAGACTGCTAGTTGTCCAGAAGAATCCATCGTGTAGAGCTGTAGCTGGGTATGTGCTGCTTGCTGGGGACTGCATTTCTCAGCCCCTTTTGCTGTTACCTGTGGCTAAGTGACTCATTCTCCCCAGGGCATGTAAGTTGAAGGGGTATATCCCATTATTGGGCTGGACTCAAGCCTGTGGGTGAGTCCCCCTCACCACCTCTGTCCCCTTCCCACAGATGGAATCTAGAGAACATGGTGACTTTGTCCCAGTAAGTGCCCATCATGGCAGAGCCATGAGAGAGAAGGAACCTGGATCCCTGAATGCCACTGTAGAGCAGGGTTGCTGGTCAACTTGGAAAATTCCGCTTGACTATACGTGAGAGAAAAACTTTTGAAATGCCATTGTTTCTAAGCCACTGAACCTGGAGGTTCTGTTCATGAAGTTAAGCCCACATTAGTTAGTACACTAGGAAATCTGAAAGGGACTATTTAGAGATCTTTACATAAAATGATCTTTACATAGTTTACACCTATGTGGCTAAAACACATTCTTCTGGAAATTCTCTGGATACTCATTATTTATCTGGAAAAAGATAAAGATTACTCCACCCCACTTTTTCAGAGGTCATACTCACAGCACCCTTGGCTGTCTTGAACTGAACATTAAACTTGCTCATAAGTGGCAAAGTTCTATTTGTCCATATATTCTATCAAATAGACATTTCTTGCCCTTTATCTCAGGTAAGTATATATAGTAAAAGAATAAATTGTAAGTACAGCTTCACACAAGAAGTGGAAACAAAAGGAGTTAATCAAGAGAGCAGTAAAAATATATCTGAGGTCAATGATGCCATGCATGTGATCACTGGTAAACCTGATGTGTGGTATGCATTAAGTGCCGGAGATCTAGGATGATTTAGATGGTGTTCATTACATACAATTAAAGATTGTGTTTGCTTAATACAAATTAAGGTTTGTACAATTGAGAGGAGAAGTTGTTCAGAAAAAAAAAAAAAAAAAAAAAAGTGGTATTCTAAGGGAGCTTGAATGATCTGAAAAATTTCCCCTATAGGGACGAACTAATGCTTAGCAGTGCTGACCAAACAAGGCATTGCTGTGCTAAATTTCATTAAGAAAAGAGAATGAAAATATCAGCAAGTTGGCAAAAGGCACAGTTATGCATAGTGTAGTAAAGTCATATTTGAGGTTTTTTGATATTTAAAGTAGTGAAAAAGAAGGTAGGTGTAGGTGTCAATACAATATGTGATTTTTTTTTTTTTTTTTTTTTTTTTTGTCTTGTAAGGAAACCAAGGGAGGTCTAGAGGGCACATTTGGCATCTTTTTAAAGATATTAGCTCAGGAACTAATACGCTCTTGCAGGGTGAACAGCCTGCAAAGTGGATAATTTTGAAACTGCAATTATTTTCAATAAGCACACTCTCACTCCATTTTTAATATGTCAACATAAGAATGTAAATACTGGGAAGGTTAGAAATAGCCATGATGTCAAGTTTAACCAGATAAGTGAAATGTGCAACAAGGAAAAGGCATAAAAAGCTTGTTAGACTTACTTTCGCAAATATTAATTGCACAGTCACTGGCAGGGCACAGAAATGAAGGAGCTATGCTTTCTGCTCATGGGGCTTATCTGTAGTCTGACAGTGAAAAGTCCAAGATTCTTAGCAAGGCATTAAAGGTTGGGGGTTAACGGTTAAACCGGCCTGGCAGTTACAGCCCTGTGTGATAAGTACCACCATAAACCAAGGCTCTGGCTACAGCACAACTTTCAACCACATTCACCGCTGTAGTCCTCGCACCTTGTTCCTGGCACACAGAGGCAGGCAATAAACATTTATTTTTGGATGAAGAAAACATAGGAGCCATTGTAGAAGATGTGAAGTTGGGCCACCTTGAAAAAAGTAGAAATTGGATAAGAAGAGAGAAGAAGGATAAGGTATGAATGAACGAAAGAGGAAAGAGCACAGCAGAGCTGCAGCGAAGATTTCCTCTTCCTGGTTAAACATCAGGGCCTGTTAAATGCCAGCCATCATGCTGGGAACACGAGAGGGAAACGAGATGGCGGATGGAGGCAGGGGCTAGATCTCAGAGAGCTCTTAATGCCTTGCTAGGAATCTTAGACTGTTAATCCTATAGACAAAGGGTTGAGGAGCTTAAGCAGAATTTTAAGTTGTTGTAATTATCAAATGAGAAGAGAAATGAAAGAGAAACTACTTTGTAAACTGAAATGCTATGATCAGATCAATGTTTTAGAAAAGTCAGGCTGGCAGCCTTGTGAAGGATTATTGTATAATCGCTTTTGTTGTGTTCGTGTGAAAGCAAGGCTAAGCTCATTTTCTACATTCTTCTCATTGAACCTTTATGTCTCTCTAAA